GGGGGGGGTGGTGGGGGGTGGTAAGGAACTTTGCTGTGCTCTAGTCAAATGACGAATGAGATTTGTGTTGCGGATAAATACAAGGTCTGAACAAAAAACATCGATCAACTTAAAAATACCCAGTGTACACGTAGCTACACTCTAATTGGCAGATTTTAACCCCTGCATACTCATCTGTGGTAGATACCACTCTCCCGTGGGGTTATCTATGGATCACTACATCCACCAGAGCTCCCAAGCACTGAGGCATTAGTAAATGGATGTAGCCGTGGGTTCTGCACACCATTACAATTCACATGTTGTAGCAGTCATATGACCGAGTAGTTAGCTTTGTCATCACAATGTACCTTAATACTTCTGAGAAAGGGGGCCCCTGCGTTGGGTCTGATAGAGCGCTCCGGTCAGGACATTCGATTGTGCGTAAGTAGGACATAACATGCCTACTACAACTCTTGCAACCACCACCTAATAAACTTCTCGAGAAACTAAGGTATTGGTAGTGAAACTAGCTGTGCACTCTTAACTGGATATTTGAGTTTGACATGGTTTGTAGTAGCTACATGCCTCAATGCACTCGACACTACAGGCGCTAGTAGTGGTGGAATAGAATGTAGACTCGGATGTAGACAGCCAAACTATGTGAGCTGGATTTAGGAATTACTACCAGGATCTGACTGTGAGCTCTGATGAGATCATCCAAGCCTGTGTAAGCTGAATTGCTGTATATATGTACTCGATTGGGTTTTTAGGGTTAACTCAATAGCTATGTTTATATATTTACATATTCTGAAGTGCCGACGCACCCCAGCACTCGGTGTAAACCACGTTTGAGCGCTTCGCAATGGCGGCAGAAGTGTGAAAGCAAGAAGTATAGATATATCTATTCAATCTGAACATTTTGTACACATGAATTTATTATTCTTTGAAGTACTTTTTCACGCACTCCTGTATTTTGTTTGAAAGTGCAGCCATGTTTATTATAGCTGATAGTCCTGTTTATATATATGTCGTTCCGACGCTGATAGGTATGCATTTAAATATAGCCGTTCATGATAAGTAGTTACCGCCCATCCTCGACGAGATACTATTGCATATACACACGGATAAACTTCTGCACATCTGATTCACTACGCCGCAGCCATCTCTGAACCATAAGCCTTGTGATAATTTGACATGTTCTCAAATTATAGATAGATAAGAAATCCTAAACTCGCTTAATTCGGGCCAGACACTGAATACAACGTCCATGTTAGCCATACATCTCATCCACTCAGTACCCTTCTGGCCAGAACTTGAGCCTTGAGCTTGGCAGGAGTGTGCACTCCCACACACGAGTGCAATACTGCGCACCGCAGCCATCCCTACTGTACCTGTCACCACAGCACTTGTCCTAAGGGGTTGTACCTAGTTATTGGGCTGAGATGGCCCAGCCACCCACACACGAGTGAATAGTGCGCACCACAGCCATCCCTACTGTACCTGTCACCACAGCACTTGTATTAAGGGGTTGTACCTAGCCATTGGGCTGAGATGGCCCAGTCACCCACACACGAGTGTAATAGTGCGCACCACAGCCATCCCTACTGTACCTGCCACCACAGCACTTGTACTAAGGGGTTGCACCTAGCCTTTGGGCTGAGATAGTACAGTCTAGAAAGTCCTCTAATGGAACTTCGCACCCATTTTGACACCGTCCGTCGTGTCTCCGCATTAAGACTGTAAACCGGGTTTACCTCATACAGCAAGGGAGTTGTAAACCGAGTTTACTCCATACAGCAAGGGACTCCTGACTACACATACGGCCATGCGACACCAGATCTAGAATTGGTCATGTCTCGGTACAATTTGAACGGACTCTGCTCACACTTTCCGCTGCTTTAAATACTTCCCTCTAGTGTTGACCTCTAGAATGCACCGCTTGCTTGACAAAAGGCCCTAACTTATAAAGTCTATCCCCCACCGCCCCTACTTGGGGTCATTGGCAGTCAGTTCGCTCAGTAAGAACTTGGAAAACTCCCATTGCTCAAACTTCACACTCGCCGATACCGCTGCATCGTATGTCCTGCGACTCGGTGTTACGTTGTCGCCTAACATCCGCTTCCATATCCTGGGGATGTTCTCCCATTCCAGTCCGCTCTCACACGCTTTAAACACGCACGTGTACGTGATCGTATCCGGCTGTGTCTGTACCTTGCCCTTACTCTTATCAGACATCTCCTCGAGTAGTTGTAGGGCCACCGCACACTGCCCCCCTATGGCCGCTCCGAGGATAGCGTTATTGTACGTAATGGTATCGCGTGCAACACCCTTGCTCTCCATCTCCCGCACCAGCCCCACCGCTTGATCCCACTGGCCAGCCCTCCCACATGCCGAGATAGCCGCATTGTACACGAACGTATTGGGCTCCACCCCTGCGTTTGGCATACCACGCAAGAGCGCAAGCGCTTCCTCCCACTTACTGGCCGTGGCACACGCTGATATGACGCTACTGTATGTGTACACGTTCGGGGTCACATTCTTGGCCCGCATCCGTTGCAGTACAGTGAGAGCGGTCTGCCACCTACCCGCCCTGGCGCACGCAGCTATAGCACTCGTGTACGCCTGTGTGTCGGGTGCCACACCCCTCTTCTCCATAGTATCCAGCACACGCACGGCGCTGTGCCACTCCCCAGCCTCACCCTTGGACACTGTGTTACTGGTGTATGTGTGTGCATTAACGGCTACGCCCTTGGCTTGCATCTCACGCATAAGGCTCTGCGCCTGTGTGTGCATCCCGGTCTTCCTGCACGCATGGATGGCTGTGCTGTACGTGACCGTGTCTGCCTGCAGACATACACGTGTCATATCTCGCAATAGTTCTATAGCCCACTGCCCCTGTCGGTGCTTGGCACACGCACTGATGGCAACGTTGTACGCAATCACACCCTGCCTGTGCGAATCGGAGGCTCGCTCCTGTGCCGCTGATGCGGGTGCGTGTTCTCGTACTTGTGACTGTGTTTGTTGTGGTATGGCTCCCTTAGGCACAGGCCCACCGTGTGCAGGATTGGCTTGACTGTGTGTGACGCCTGCCTGGTTGTTGGTGTGATCTAGCATCATGTCTATGTGTGCACTCAGGTCATCCGTGTGCCTCTCCTTGGTATCTAAATCACTCCCTAGTATATCCTCCCTCACTACAGCATCTGCCTGGCTTCCCACCGTATCCATCTTCGTATCTACCTCAGTATGAACAGCCGCCCTAAGCTGGTCACTAGAGGCGAGTGTCGACCCCATCTCCTTCACTATACGCACCGCCGCCTGCCACTCGCCCGCCCGTTCGCAAGCCAGCACAGCACTCGTATATCCCTGCACCGTCGGATCCACACCTTTAACCTTCATCTCAGCTAACAACTCCTGGGCAGTGTGGCTAGCCCCTTTCTTGGCACAGGCATACAGACCTTTGTTATACATACCACCGTCTATCTCCAGACCATCCTCTCGGACTTCTCCCAGTAAGTGTAGAGCATTGTCGTATTGGTGTGCACCTACACAACCTTGGAACAACCACCGATACACACCTATACCGGGTGGGTAGCCCTCATGCCTCATCGAGCTGACAAAGTCCAGAGCTTCATGCCACCTGTTCCCCTTCGCGCACGCCTGCACTAGTATGCTGTACGTACGTTGATCGGGTTTGACCTCCTCACCTCGCATTTCTTTGTACAATTCTAAAGCGTGCTCGCCTTTGCCCAGCGTCTCACACAACGAAAGCACGTTGCTGTACGTGACCGTGTTGGTTGGTATGCCTTCGGCCCGCATGTCCTGTAGTATGTTAAATGTCGCTAGCCATTGCTGAGCCTTGACACATGCGGCTATACTGGTGTTGTAAATAACCGTGTTACCACGGATACCCTGTGCACGCATCTGCCGCAGTATGTCTAGTATGGTCTGCCACTGCCCGCCGCGACTGCACGCAGCGACAACACAGCTGTACGTGATTGTATCTGGCTGGACACCTTTCTGAGCCATTTTCCGCAACAGACTCAAACTCACCTGCCAATGATTCGTACCGGATCCCTTAGTCAACGCCGACAGCACTGTGTTGTATGTGATGGTATCGGGAGAAACGCACGCCCGCACCATGTCTCCGAGCAGCTTAACTGCATGATTAGGCCGAGCTGCTTGGTCACACGCGGCGATCGCTGCGTTGTATGTGCTGGTGTCTGGTGTCACGCCTGCGCGTGGCATGCTATCGAGCACACGTATCGCATCCTCCCACTTCTTAGCCTTGGCACACGCGCTAATCATCGTGGTGTACGTCGTTGTGGTGCGTACAACGCCCCTCTCACCCATGTGTCGGAAAACCCTCGCCGCACCCTTCCACTGGCCGGCTTTCTCGTAGGCCAACAGGACATTGCTGTACGCAAACGTATCCGGGAGGATCCCTGCCCGACCCATATCCTTCAGCAACTCAGCCGCCTTCTCGTGCTGTGCGTTCTGTGCACAGGCTGCCAGCACTGTGTTGTAGCTAACCCTATCCACTGCCACGTTCTCCTGGCGCATGGTGTGCAGTGTTTGTACCGTGTCCTTCCACTTACCCGCTGTCTTGTACGCCGCGAGTAGTGCGTTGTAGGTCAACACAGTCGGGGGTACACCCCTCTCGCGCATATCCGCCAATAACCCCTGCGCCTCCTCCCACCTGCCCTGTGCAGCGCATGCTTGTATGACATTGGTGTACACCTTCCGGTCACATTTGGCCCCTTTGGCGGCGGCCATCTCTCTCAACAGACCCATACCCTCCCCCCACAAGCCAGCTTTGGCACACACCACCGAGGCCAGTGTGTATGTACTGTCATTGAACGGCACACCGGCAGCTCTCATGGTATTGAGGAGACTCATCGCTTCACCCCACTGCTCCGCTCTCTCGCACGCAGACAGGCATGAGTTGTACGTGGTCGTGTTGGGCGACGCACCGGCGCTTTGCATCTCCTGCATCACTTGAAGGCCCTTTTCCCACTGCCCACCCGTTACACACGCTGAGATAACTGCACTGTACGCGAACGCATCCGGCTTGAGCTTGGCCTGTCCCATATCTGCCAGCACCTCCAGGGCGGCCTCCCAGCGGCTTGTTTTCTCACATGCGGAAATAACGCTTGTGTATGTGTATTTATTGGGGCGCAACCCCTTCTTACGCATTTCGCGCAGCAATCTGACCGTCTCCTCCCAACGTCCTGCATTCCTACAAGCAATCACTGCCGCGTTGTAGGTATAGTTGTTAGGCGTTATACTATTTATATCCATCTCTTTAAGGAGTGCCATGGCCGGTTCCCACTGTCCCGCTTTGCCACACGCCGCAATTACGGTACTGTAGGTAATCACATTCGGCCTTATACCTACTTCCGGCTTTTGCATATCCTTCAACGTGTCTACCGCCAGTTTCCACTTGCCCACCGCCCCGTACACAGACAGTACCGAATTGTATATATTGAGATCGGCAGGCACTTTAGCGTCGTGCATTTCACGCAGAAGTCCTTGTACGGTCTTCCATTGCCTGTCTGGCACACACGTGGCTATCACACTATTGTACGTGGTCGTATTGGGTACCAGCCCTACAGTGCGCATCTCGGCTAACAACTCTAAGCCAAACTTGTACTGTCCACCGGCCGCATAGGCGTCGATCATAGTAGTGTATGTAACCAGTGTCCTCGCAATCTTGTGTGTGAGCATAGTATCGAACACAGCTCGGGCCCCTTTCGTGTCGCGAGCGTGTACTAAGCTCATTATCACGCGGTTATAGTGAGTCGCAGATAGAGTGTGAGTGGGTGGCCGTGTCTCTGATTGCTTTACAAGGTATTCCAACACACCCACACACTTGCCAGGCATCTGTGCGCGCTTGTATATATTGATCGCAGACAACCCGTCTGTAACCTCAAGTAGACCTTTATGCACTAAGTCGTCGACTAACCTAACGGCGTCGTGGTAGTCGCCGGTACTTTCTACGACACTGGCGATTAGTTGTAGTGCAGAGGGGGACTTCCTGCATGGACAAATTCAAAATGATTTGTTAGTTGTGGCTCAACACATACTGCCTATGCCTGATACTGAACACGTGGCATGTACTTGCGAGTGACAGATCTGTAGGTGCACAGGTATATATATTGTTTTAAACTACCAGCGTACGCGTACAATGACAGATACCATAGAGATCATAGTGAAGATAAGCATGCTATGTAAGGTGAGTTCAATACAACTTTTCAAAGCCCGAATACTAGAGAATGCCGGGAGCAACTCTGGGTTAAATGGGAGCAATACTGGTATGGGATGAGTTGAGATGTGAAAGGCACAGGTTGCATGAGGCCTGCTTACTTCAAAATATAAATCAGTTGGATCAGTCGCGTTCACTAAATATACAGGTCAACATATATTTGTTCGCGCTAGATGTCTATCAATACTACCATGTGGTAGAGTGCGATGGTATTTGTGTAGTCAGACTTGCGCTTCAGTGAAATATGGGACTAAATTGCACTCGCCTGAGATACTAATAGGCATATCGTCATGACATGGGGGCAATAAAACAAACTGGCATGTGTGGGTAAGTACCTCAGCACACATGATACATGCTCGCCTAATGGGACTAACTCTGCCCGAGCGTACTACACGTCCTCCATTGCAAAGTGAAGTATATATGGTCAGTGAGCTACACGAGTATACTGCATTTTCAGTGTAGCGAATGGGTGTAGATGATGCATTACAGATGAATAAGTTCGTTACTCGGGCAGTTCCATTTGTGTATACCACCGGAGCACAGTATATACAACAAAAACACCCTACTGAAAAGCAGTGACAAATAACCCCCTGGAGATCAGATACTTGAGCCTGATGCACCAGATATGAGATATGAATGGAAACAAGACGACTTGGAAATATACGACGCACTGAAATGGCTGCTCATACCGGGTAGAAATAGATACACAAATACAATGCTAAGTGTTTACGATACTGAAAGTGCACACTTAGGCGGCATTGACTTATACTTTCAATTGGTCATCCAGTATTCTTCTCTTAGGCCTCTAAACAACTTGCATACCTTTTCTTCTTCTTTGCGCCTGTTTGTTGGGGGTTCGTCTCCTGCGTACCGTTCATCGTACAGCCCGATTGCCTGTCCTCAGCAAGGAACACCTTACTATCTAGCTGCTTAGACCGCTCTCCCATATCTGCTGTACCACCGCCTCTTACTGAGGGCTGTACATCTAGCGCATGCGGTGGTTGGCTGTCTTCTCCGTTCAGATGTGTTCTCTTGTCATGCGCATTGCCACTGAGTTTCAGCCGCGTCTTATCACCTGCGTTCTGTATACTTGTCCCGTCCTTTGCATCTTCTCTGTGTACCCTACTATCTCTCGCATCTATGGGAGGTAGTGTACGCTGCAACAACCTGTTTTTTGTTGGGTTCCGCGAGTTTGCTTTACTGGTATGTGATTCCTTGTGGACAACGGTGAGTCTATCCCCAGCCTTAGTTTTAGAACTCTCACGTGAGGTGCTACAGTACGGTCTCCGGAGAGGCCTGTCAAAACAGTCGCATGTGTACCTGGATAAGTATCTAGAGCTATAGTTTACTTTTGCTGTAAATGTACCGGCTTGAGCTGATGAGATAGGCGTCAGGGTAGTGAAAGCACGCGTGCTCCGTGGGAAGAGGCCTACTATATGCATGATGATTGATGTGTACTTACTTATAGATGCACAAGTGTGGGTATATTTATAGGTAGAATATTGTTCCGGATATCACTTCCATAATTAAGTCGGGGGTTGGTTTAGACTGTTGGGAGGAGCCTTTGTGAGTTGCCCATATTATGGATAGCTCCCCTCGGAGTGGAATGATTGTTTGGCATTCTCAGTTGCTCAGTACTCCGCTTAGATATGCAGTGTATGTGAAGAATCTGTCTCCGTATGCTTAGGGTGTGTATTTACAAGCGCACAGCACACAAACACACACAAGATCACGTGAAGTGTAAATAGAATATAGCTGACTGGCCTGCCGGAGGCTGCCTATGATGACTGATCACTGTGATCAGCACTGTCACGAGTTAGTCAGAATTTGAACAACTTCATATTGCCGCCAAAATTTGAAAATCTCCACAGATCGTAATTTTATTTATATACTGTTTTTTTTAATAATAAAAAACATCAAACCGAAGCCCTTGCAAAGGAGGCGGACTATTTACATATGTAGCGGAGGCTAATTCACCATTCTTATTTATGTATGTATGAGCTAGAGAGAGTGCTTGACTCAATATGAATGATGAGCATGTTATACCCTCAAAGGTCACACAAACTATAAACTACATCTGGCCACGCGCGACAATTATACGCGAGTATCCTAATAATAGACGCAAATTGGCATTCCAAACAATTATTGAAATTGGCTTGTGGAGACTACGCACAATTGTTCCATACATAGTGGTATAGTTTGTATACACGGAGAGAAATTGCAAGATAGCCTTTCAAATCTTTATTATACAAAGTTTTCAACACCTACGCACCACATTACGCCTTGTGAACGAACATACGATGGTTTGTGGAGATTTTAGGCACTTTGCTTGCTTTCTGCAGTATACTGAGAGGGCGTCATCATGGTAGTCGGTCCAACCGAGGAACTCATTGTTCATACCGAGTTCCGTCTTGTTGATCATATTTACGAATGAGGTGTACTGCACCTCTGTGACAGTTACTTTGTCTTCTCCCTCACATGCTACTTGAAGTTATAGAACAATAGTTACGAGACCCTCCACACACAAATAATTTCGTCACAGACCGAATACGAGCCTCAATCTCCTCCTGCGAGCCGGCTTTTTCGCCCGAGGCCCGTCACTTATAAAGATCCTTATCCACAGATCTTAAGTACAACACTACTCAGCCTTCCCGGTCCAATAGAGTCGACTCTGACCAAATGGTTCTGGCTGTTATCGCCGGCATTCCTCAGATTCGGCAAATCCTTGCCGCCCCAGTTTCATAGACTTCTGACTGACGACGGGACTCCTGTTGTTTTAAGGTGTGTACCTGATCGGAAGCGTCCTACATGTGTCCATAGTCTGACTTGAATAGCTGTGCGTACTGTGTCTCGATATAAGCTTAGTTAATGAGAGCCTGAGAAGCTGTAATACGCCTTGCTCTTTGCGCGTGTCCCCGTGAGTGTATGTGTGTGAGTGTGCGTGTGTGTATATGTATGTGTGTACACGTATGTGTGTGTATGAGTATACACGTGTGTGTGTGTGTGTGTGCACGTGTGTGTGTACAGGTGCGTGTGTACACGTGTGTGTCTGTATGTGTGTGGTCGTCCGCGACCACCACAACCGCTTTTCGCTTTCACAGCGATACGTTGTAGATATGTAGCAGCCTTCATTCGCGAGAGGAACGTACAAGTATACACTTATATCAACTCTCAGAGCACTTCTCGCTGTGTTGTGTAGCCGACATCTCCTACGGACACGAGCCCATCGATGTGTGCACTTGCGTATGCCTTCTCCTGCGCGCATGTGTACACTCCAGTCTCCCCCAAAGCATTTGTGTGTCCTGTACGGTGTAGGGCGACGCCTTATGCGGCCAATGAAATGTTACCCTGCTACTAATAGCCAACTCGCCATTACAATTCAGTTACACATCTGAATGGGCGTGGGGGATGCACGCCAGGTCCTCTCTCTATGGCCGTGTGTGTATGTGTACGTGTATGTGTACGTGTATGTGTGTGTGTGTATGTACGAGTGTGGACGCATATGAGTGTGAGGGCGAGCTATACGAGCCAACGTCTCAGAACACTAGGCAGCGCATGTACACACACACGCCTGCCTCTGCTCGCGAGTGAACCACGCGATTCGCCGTATACTGTGCGAGTGACCGCATGTGTGGAATACCCTGCCCACACAATTTGCTCATGCACATGTACTGATAAATGCATATACACATACGCAGGCTTGTGCATATACACATACAAAGGCCTGTGCATGCACACAGGTGTGCCAGCCTGAGTGCACCCACACGCCTCTCCCCACAGCAGAGGGACACGGCGCCTTGCTAATAGTGGGTCTAATTGTCCAACGCCGCTGATACCACAGTCCTATTGTCGGATTATCCGACTTTTTTTTTAGGGTTTTAGGGTTTACGCCGCTGATACCGTAGTCCAATTGTCGGATTATCCGACACCTCGCACGGCTTCGTATCTGTCCCTGTACCTGTATCCGTACCTGTACAAATAGCCCAGTACGCGCGCACGAATTGGAATGCGGTCAGCCGAGCGTATGGGCAAGTATTGACCTGGGCAGGGCTATTGGTGCCTTGACACCTGGATTGGGAGAATACGATACACCTCGCAGGAGATTTGGGTGCAGCATACCCCAGGAGCTGCAGGACAGGACAGGACAGCGATCTTGATACGATTGGCATACGGTTGGTCGGTATATCTACGGCCGAGTACCATACAGCAAGGTCGAAACCCTAAACCCTGCGATGAATACCGGTCAGGGCACGGATGGTCGTCGGTGCGATAATCGTGGTTGGTAAGGCAAAAGCCCTCGTTCGCGTACAACAAGCGGGTCTGAGTGCTCACTCTTTGTCTCCACATAGTGTACCCAGCCCCTAACGTCCCGGTCCGCCAAAGTGGGATCTGCACCCAAAAGTTCTACAGGCAGGTGCGTCGCATTCTCAGCCCAAACCTCAAACCCTACATGTCTTGGTCAGGGCATGGCTGTGGGTGTGACTAATTCCGTAACGCAGTAATACCCTCCCTATCCGACATAGCCAGATGGGGTCTCCTCTACCTCCATCTCCACTGTCACTCTGTATCAGCCAACCGAATATGTACCAAACCCTGCGCCACAACAGGTATCGCACCTACTGCCCTACACATCACCACTATGAACTATCGGTGCGGCAGCCGCGGCAGCGCATTACTCTCTCGGTCCAGGAAACTCAGAAAGTCGTTCTCCGTCTCTACGCTGCTCTGCGCGGATTCCCGCGTCGCCCCCTCCGCCGCCAGGTTGCCGAATTCCGCATCCATGACACGCATGATATCCGACGGCAGTCTCAGCCCCGTCACGCTGGGCAGGCTGGTGGCACCGTCTTTGAAGTTCATGTCCGCCGAATTACCCATCATAAAGCCTCCCTCCAGACCCATCCCTCCCTGTGTGCGTGTGTGTGTGTGTGTAGCGTTGTTGTCCAGCGGCTCCAGCCCATTATTCAGCGGCCGTGGGTACGTTGTGTTGCCCAGCAGCTGCTGCTGTGGTGCTGTGGTAGTGCCGGGCAGTTGCTGCAAGGCCGTTGCAGTCATAGGCGAGCCCTGCGTCAGGTTGAAGTTCGGTATCTGCTGGCCCTGGGTCCTGCCCAGCGGGTACTGAGACGGGTTGGCATGGGAGTGTTGGGATGGATTGAGCTGGTTGTGTTGTGTGTTGATGTGGTGTTGCGAGGGGGTTACCTGATGCTGCTGTTTGTGTGGCAGTTGAGTCTCAGTGGGTGGTTTGCGTTCCGGCACGAACGCCTGATCACTCAGGATCTCACGGAAGACGGTCGACAACGATTTGCTCGTGCGGCCGAGCTCGGGTTTCTGAGGGGTGGTTGGTAAGAAGAAGACTAATTAGGTGAACTTTTTAGTAGGTAAGAAGACTAATTGAGTGAACTTTTTAGTAGGTAAGAAGACTAATCGAGTGAACTTTTTAGTAGGAAGAAAGAAGACTAATTGAGTGAACTTCTTAGTAGGTAAGAAGAAGACTGATTAGGTGAACTTTTTATCTGTGTAGACTTTTGCGATACAGAGAGATACAGGGAAGTGTTTGTACCCCCGGGTGCCCGGCAGAAACCACCCGTGCCAGCACAGACGCTCGCGAGTTTGTACTCATACAAATGGTTGATGTGTGTATCGCATATGCTACACATACGAGAGAGAAAGCCTTGGGCAAACACAGCAAAGCACCACAACAGCACACGGATGGACACACACACGTCGTGTCTAATAGGGCATACGCAAAGATGTGACTTCACTCGAACGAGCGAGTAGACATAAACAGTGGGCATGGCTTGACAACAATACATATAGTACGTATAATACGTGTAATACGTATAATACGTGTAATACGTATAATACGTAAGAGTTGACATATAGGCCGGACGTGACTCGTACACAATGGGGAATGTACATAAACGTACGCGCACACATAGACACCACACATGTACGCCTACAGTTCACATAGAAGGGTTTGTGTATAGAAAAAGAGCGCGTGAGTGTACTTGAAATGAATAACTGTATGCAAAAACGGGCGTGTGAGTGGAATAGAAGTGCGTGTGAGTGGAATAGAAGTGCGTGTGAGTGGAATAGAAGTGCGTGTGCGTGGACATACAGGTGCGTGTGTGTATCCATGGAAGAGCGTGTGCGTGTCCATTTATGTACGCGAATACATAAACGTACGTGTGAGTGTGTATAGAAGTACGTAGGTGTGGACAAAAACAGTATGTATGGTATGCACAACAGAGTGTGAGTGTATATTTAAGTACGTATACGTATACACAAAAGAGTGCGTGAGTGTACATTAAAGTATGTATACGGATGCACCAAAGTGCGCGTGTGAACAAAGAACTAAGTGTGTGCGTGTGTACATCATTCAGCGTGTGTATGTCCAAAATAGAGCGTGTGAATGTACATTTAAGTACGTATGCGTATACATAAACGTCCGTATGTGAGCACAGAATAGAGCATGCGGGGTTGCTTACCGTGCCATTGGAGGCATACTCCGTATTTGTTTGTTGCTGTCCCGCGAAGTTAACATTCGCCTGTGGTGGGTGGTGAGAAGAATGGTCTTAGCATGTATACATACACTCGGAAACAGATCCATGCATCGCACATCTCAAAGTTTAACATATGGCTTGAGCTGTATTCTCGGCATGAGTTTATCTGAACGGGTATGAGATCCACATCAATATAACCACGTTATATAATGACCCATGTGTGCGTATGAGTGATCGTATATGTGTGCATATGTATAATATATATATATATATATAGTTATCCTGCACAGGTCGGGCGTCAATAAACAAGGTACTGTGGTATATGCTTAAGGGCACGAGCACGAGCACAAGCACATATCTTCCACTCGGTCGTATAGTCGCGCATAGTTGTGCAACTAATCGATTGACAGTTCCAGTACCACTGCCACTCAGCCCGTGACCGTACAGTACAGAGATGTCAAGTCAGAACAGACTGCTTCCAAAATCAATCACTTTTCGTATTGCCAAACACATAATATTGGCCGGCCCAGTCCAAAAACAAGGGACCTGGGTGCCATGAGGCACTATTCTCGCGATTCGGTGTCAAATTGCATGTCTATGCTATACCATACCGAAGCACCAGGCATATGTATGGAAATTAGTTCATACTATAAAAAACACACACACACACATATATATATATAATACAGCTGATATTGGCAGGTGCCGAAGATAGCCGAAACATATATGCAAACGTGATATACACGTACACAAATATAAAATTATACACACACATACATATCCTTTAAAAGGTGATTATACATCCACATCTATACAGATATTGGCAACATAGATCCATACGACATCGTGATTTGCAACACCACTACTTCTTCACCTGCGGATTCATGTCGAAGCTTTGCATTGAGCTTGTCCCAGGCGGCAATGGAGTGCCTGGGGTCACAAAGACATTCGGACCTGCACCTGAGACAAGGAATGGGGAGCACATCGGTATGAGAATGGTCTGGATGAAATGCCTATTGTGTATATGTAGAGCCAATTGAACTTCGGGTGTACAAAGACATTCGCACCTGCACCTGAGACC